CAGCTCTATACCATGCTAGGAATCAAACCCAGGTCTTCATTCATGTTGGGAAGGCATTCTACCAACAGAGTTACATACTTAGCCTATGTGACTTTTATTAAACATTTTAGCACCATTTCTTATATTTAGAATATAGTTGAGTGACTTAGATTGTAAAGGATGTCAATGTACGTCTATATAGTTGTTATATTCTTTTCTAATTGCTTATTTTGATAGATGGGTTCCTTTCTCTAGAAGTATATTTTAAGGCAATACTTTTAAGAAAAATGTTCTAACACTTTCATTTTTTATAAAACACATAAGAAATAAGATTCTACATATTTAATGATTGCTCTTGCCTTTCGTCAATCCTGAAAATATAGCAAAACTGGCAGTCTTATCAGTTTACAAAAACTTTGCTATGTTATTTAAAAGCCTTTTCTCTGGGGCAGGAGGTCTCTCCCTGTGGATGTATTTTGAAAGGAGAAGGTCCCTTTGTTCTGGCTGCCTGGCTAGCTTACACCCAAAATAATCATACAGAAACTGTATTTATTAAATTACTGTTTGGCTCATTATTTCTAGCTTCTTATTGGCTAGCTCTCACATCTTGATTTAACCCATTTCTATTAATTTGTGTCACCACGTTGCAGTGGCTTACCAGGAAAGAGTCGGCACGTCTATCACTGGCGGCTCTATGGTGTCTCTCCCTGACTGGTCTCAAATTTTTGATCATCTTATATAAATCTCCTTGGTGTATTAAAATGTACCGCATCTGCTGTCCTAGTTTTATTTCTGTTGCTATGACAACATACTCTGACAAAAGCAGTCTAGAGGACACTCCACATCACAGTCCATCACATCAGGGGCAAGAGTTTGAAACAGGTAGTCACATCATATCCAAGAGCAGAGAGAGACAGAGGCAGAGAGAATATGCACAAATGCATAGCACTCAGTTGGCTTTAATGATGGAGGTAGGTCTTGTATCTTATCTGTTGCTTTCATTGGTTAACAAAGAAACTGCCTTGGCCCTCATAGGACAGAAAATTAGGTAGGTGGAGTAGACAGAACAGAATGCTGGGAGAAAGAAGCTGAGTGAGGGAGTCGCCATGGTTCTCCCACTCCAGACAGACGCAGGTTAAGATCTTTCCTGGTAAACGCACCTCGTGGTGCTACATAGATTATTAGAAATGGGTTAAGAGGCTAAAACTAATGGGCAAGGCAGTGTTTAAAAAATACAGTTTCCGTGTATTTCGGGGCATAAGCTAGCCATGCGGGTAGCCGGGTGCCGGGGATGCAGCCTCGCCGCTCCATATCACTACACTTTCTCTCCTTTATATAGTTTAGAACCAAACCCATTGAGTGCTGCCATGCACATGGGTGAGTACACCCACAGCAATTAATGCAATCTATCCTGGCCCTCAAGATATGCCCACAGGCCAACTTCATCTATACAGTCCCTGTACTGTGATTCTCTTTCCCAGTCATTCTAGGTTGTGTCAAAATGACTATTTGGCTTAAATTTCTGTCCAGGTAATAGAAGTAAAACATTTTGGAAATTTTTCACTGAGATTTTGGGAATAAAAATAGGTCTTATCTACTTTGGGAAGCAATTTTTTTTCTGGTATGTAAACTTGATCAAAGGCCATGACTTAGGAGGAACCATAGGCCTTGGGCTTGATGTGTGTGTGTGTGTGTGTGTGTATGTGTGTGTGTGTGTGTGTGTGATGAACTTGTAGAGTAGATGGGCAGCAGGCTAAGGAATAGCTGCGGGTGTGTATCTGTGTGGGTGCACGTACACATCTGAGTAGACTAGGCAGGCAGTAGGCCGTGTCTTAGGTGTGTGCCCGTGTGTTGCTGTGGCTGCAGCAGGCACATCAGGGTTTGGTGCTGATACAGGGCACAATCACCTGTTTATGGAGTTGGGGACATACCCAGTGACACAGGAGCATCTCTCCCTTGTGTGTTTATGTTCAATTTCTGGGCCCAATACAGTAGGATATGTTGGCTGAATCATCATGGGTAAGGTTGTGCTGTCCCCCACATTGCCATTTCCAAGGGAGGTCTTCTATGGCGGCCCTGATGAGAGATCCCCCTCTGTATGCTGCTGCTACCACTGGTTAATGAAGAAACTGCCTTGGGCCTGTGCAGGGAATAGAGGTAGGCAGGGAAAATGAAACTGAATGCTGGGAGAAAGAAAGGCAGAGTTTACAGAGAAGCCATGTAGCCCCTGACAGAGACAGATGCTGGCTGGAATTTTATCCGGTAAGCCACAGCCTCGTGGTGATGCACAGATTAATGGAGATGGGTTAAATTAAGATGTAAGACTTAGCCAATAAGAAGCTACAGCTAACGGGCCAAGCAGTGATTTAAATAATATGGTTTGTTGTGTGATTATTTTGGGAGTTGGGCAGCCCGGAAACAAATAAATGGTCTCCTACTACAGATGCCCTACTTCCCTACTCCAGCTTGAGCTGACTCAAGCTGGCCAAGTCCATGACCAAGACAGGCTTCTGGGGAGCTGCCTTCCCAACTCATTTCTGGGTCATCCCTTCTAAGCCCCCTCCATTGAGCAGGGATCTAAGCCCCTTGCAGTTTCCCACAGCATGATGCCCTGCTCCTACTCCCCGGGCGGGCCTCTCATTCCCTGCTGCCTGAGACTCTGTTGTTTCCATGGCTCTCCATGCCAAGAGCTAGGAGTGATGTAAGTTGATAGTAGCAGTTCACACGGTGGCCATGAGGGGGAACTGTGTCTCCCAAAGTGTAAAGCCTCCATCATTCTCTCAGCCTCCCTGTGCATAGCTGGTGTGCAGCAATATGGTGAGTTCCTTCCATGTGATCTGTCTTAGCCCTTTATTTGTATGTATGTGACTTTACTGAATTTTTTACTAGTTCTAAAAATGTTCTGTCAATTCCTCAGAATTTTCCTGCACATATTGATTGGAAATTATGGTGGTTTGATAGAAAAGGGCACCTTCAGGGTGTGGCATTGTTAGGAGGTGTGGCTTTGTTGGAATAGGTGTGGCCTTGTTGAAAGATGTGTGTCAGTGTGGAGGTGGGCTTTGAGGACTTTGTTGCTAAAATTACACAAGTGTGTAACACACCATTGCTTATGTCACCTGCTTATCAAGATGTGGAACTCTCAGCTCCTTCTGCAGCACGATGTCTGCCTGCATGCTGCCATTGCCACCCACCATGATGATAAGGGACTAAACTTCCAAAGTGCAAGCCAGCTCCAGATAAATGCTTTCTTCTGTGAGTGTTGCTGTGGCCGTGGTGTCTCTTCACAGCAACAACAACCCTGACAAAGACAGTGAAGGACGAGTTCACTAGTTCGCTCTGCCCGTGTGTAGGGAGGACAACTAGACCACTGCCGTCAATCACTTCTGGCTATGGTGCCTCTCTGTCCTCTGTGCTGGACAGTCATCCATTGTTCTACAGGAAAGCCTGTCTCCAACTGCAGCCTGAGTGGGCGTTTCCTCAGCCTGGCTAGAGCATCCTTGGGTAACTAAGTCGTGAGAGACCCTGGCCATGCCAGCTCTGTGACTAGATGATATCGACAGCTCACTTCTTCTTGATGAGACCTGGACTAGCCTGATGTATATACCTTTCACCAAGTCACATACCTAGGTGGCCAGTGATGTGGAGTTTGTGTGTGCATGGATGTGTGTGTGTGCCTGTACGTGTGTGTGTGTGTGCAGACGTGTTCATGTGTGTCTGTCTCCTGATGAGAGCCCAGATGAGCTGCTTTACACCCTGAAAGGGCCCTGCCTTAACTGAGTGCCCTCTAAGTGGTCGAAGGCTCTCACATGCCCAGCATGAGGCCCACAGTGAGCCATTTGTGATGCTGATCTCTAGTGGTTTCCTGTGGAGGGTTTGTCTGTGCACAGTGAACAGTGAGACTGCATCCAACCCATTGCCCACAGGAGAAAGTGTACAATGTCCATGGGCTCCACCTTGTCATTTGTTGATGCCTTGCAATTGTTTATAAAAATGATCTGTTTAAACATGTTGGGTGGGGTGTGACATTGTCACAAGGTGCGCTGAGTGTGTGCGCACAGCTCTGGGTTCAGGGTTGGTGAAAACGATGAGCACCATTACAGTTAAGATGACGTCACTCTTCTCTGCATGGCCCTGCTGTCTGCTAGGACAACAGTAGCCCAGGGAGAGGGGGAGACTCTGTCTGTGACCCCTAGTGTGTCAGAGCTCAGAAATTATGTTCCTAACTGTTAGGGGCACCACTGAGCACAGGACTGCCCATTCACACTTGTATACTTTTCCTTGCCACTAGATTTTGTAGTGATATTTTGTTTGTGTTTTAACAAACAAAGCTTCCTTGAAGATGAGAATGCAGTGCTAAGCCACAAGAGGCCAAGGAATGGTAGCACACTCCTTTACTCCCAGGACTCTGGAGACAGACACAGAGGCATCTCTGTTGGTTCAAGGCCACCCTGGGCTACACAAGATTATCTGTCTAAAAGAGAAACAGAGCTGACATTAAGGCAATCCCAGCACTTGGGTTCCCATGCCTTTAATCCCAGCACTAGGGAGGTGGACTGGAGGAGACAGGAGTGATATGGCTGGGCAGAAACAGGAATATAAGGCAGGAGGAGACAGGAACTCAGTGCGGTCTGAAGCAGTCTGAAGTCAGTCTGAGGACAGGATCACCCTCTTGGCATGAGCAGTGGTCGAGGTAAGAACCCTTTGGTGGCTGGCCACTCTCCTTCTCTGATCTTCAGCATCAACCCCTATACCTGACTCTGAGTTCTGATTGTTAAGATCAACTGGAGTCTGTGCTCCAGCAGTCACTTGTCCATTTTCTGCCACACCGCGGATTGATTTTCCCTGTTGCCAGGATGGCCTGCGAGGGTCCTCCTCCCAGGACTGACCTGTTCAGCTCTGGGCTGTACTTATAAGTTGACCCGAGTAGACTGTATCACATTGGGGAATAGATATCCTGTCCCTGAACCCATGAGTTAAAATGAGGAAGAAAATTTTTATTAATAATAAACATTAAACAACAATATAACAATGAAAAGTTATCCAAAATTAACAAAGAGTTAAACGAAATCGTCGTGGGCATTTTCCCTATATAGAGGAGCAGAGCTTCTGCGTGCAGGTGGAACTCCGTAGGTAATTTGCTTCTCAACTACACATCAACATCAGGCAGTGGGACAACAGGCACAGCTGCAGGTGTGTGCCCTGCCGCTAAGATATGGATGATGACATCCACTGAATCAGCTGATGTGTGTTTAAGCTGCTCTGGTCCATCCTCGGGCAGAGTTGGTCCCCCTACTGCCGATTCCGCGATCTCAGTGTCCTCTTTGGGTGTCAGATCTCCCCGTGGCCCTGCCACACAAGGTGGTGTAGGTGGGGTAGGGCGCAGCTTCTGTAGCACCTCTGTGGCATCTGGCATCGGGGCTAATAATTTTTCTGCCCTGCAGAACCTGCAATCTAAGGACAGAAAGAGATGGACCTTTAGTCGAGTCAGCCTAGAAGCTTCCAGGATGGGGTGGCCTTCCCAGGGGTGGCCTTGCGGGTCACACAAGGCCTGATCATGCCAGAGAATCCCCACTCCCCTCTCCCTACAAGAAGACGTATATCTCACTGCTGTCCTGTAGATGCTTTTGGACTTTGTTTTTATTTACTCTTTGGCAGCCCACGACTAAGCTCCCAAATAAATACACGGAGATGTAGTACTTCTCATGAATGGACGGCCTTAGTGTGGCTTGTGTCCATTCGGCTTTCCTAACTTATCCTGTCTAAACGTTTTCCCTCTGGGCATTTTATCTTTATTTATTCAATATATCCTATTTTTTTTATTACTTCGTGGATGGCTCTATGGCTGTGTGATTGTGTAGCTGTGTGGCTGTGTGACTGTGTGGCTGTGTTGCTGTGTGACTGTGTGGCTGTGTGACTATGTGGCTGTGTGGCTATGTGGCTGTGTGACTGTGTGGTTGTGTGGCTGTGTGGCTGTGTGACTGTGTGGGTATGTGGCTTTGTGGCTCGGTGACTGTGGTGGCTGTGTGACTGTGCGGTTGTGTGGTTATGTGACTGTGTGACCTTTTGGCTGAGTGGCTGAGTGGCTGTGTGGCTGTATGACTGTGTGGCTGTGTAGCTGTCTGGTTGTGAGACTGTGTGGCTATGTGGCTGTGTGGCTGTGTGGTTGGCTCCTGGCCTCCTTTTCTCCTCCTCCTTTTCATTTTCTCGCTCCTGCTCTCCTCCCTAGTTTTCTTCTCTTATCTCTTCTCTCTTCCCACCAGCCCCACCAATTTCTCTCTGCTTACCATTGAGCTTCTTATTAGATCAATCAGGTGTTTCAGGCAGGCAAGGTAACAAGGCTTTATAGAGTTAAACAGATGCAACATAAAAGATAAAAACCACATCTTGGCATCATTAAACAAATTCTACAGCATAAACGAATGTAACACATCTTAAACTAATATTCCACAACAGTGTTCAACTCTACGTCCAGGTCAAGGCTTCTGCAGAATTCCCTGGTGGAACCCAACACTGAAACTTCCTCCAACCTTCCGAGGTACCTACTTCTGGCCTCCTCGCCATCCTCAAGCATTCCCTTGGACTCCTTAGCCTCCAGTTCTGACAAGAGCTTCAGGATCTCTACTTGGTAGAACTTAAGAGGCAAGTTCCAACACAAGAAGTCCACAAGGGTCTTCAGGGTCACCTGCTCCGGAGCCATCCGAAAATCCTCTGGCATTTTGTGGATCCAGTGGATCAGAAAAAGTAGAATGTCTCTGTAGGAAAGAGCGGGTTAGCAGGAAGTAGAGTCAGAACCCCGGCTGGCCTCCCTTCACCAGCACAGGAGCGGTCCCTCAGATGAGGAAAAGGCTCCTCAGCCCACGTGCTTCTGGTTCTAGGAGTGAGGAGACTCTGTGGAGAGGGCCCCAGACACTTGCTGTGCCTGGGAGGACAGAAAGGGCTAACTGGACTGCGCTGTGGTGGGGATGGATTCCCCTGAGGCCCTTGAGCTCTGTCCTTCCTTCTGCTCCTCAGAACCAAGCTATTACTGAAGATCTCGGTTTCTCCACCTGCACATGAAGTCTCTGGTACCATTTTTTATGGGGATCCCGAGAGGAAGGTGACCGCTAACGGCTTAGTCCCCAAGCGGAGCCACCCCCGACCTCCCGCAGCTGGGCCCTTACCTCCCTTGTCACCCAAAGCCCACTCACCTCTTTTTGTAATAATTCTTTCGAGAGACAACCTGGAAAGGTTCATACCTGTGGCATTTTATGGGCGTGTCACTGCTAACGTCATATGTCCCCAACCCACCCAGAGATCTGGAGGGAGCTCTTAAATCCCCTAGAGGAATAGAAGCTAGGGAGTGGGTTGGAGTGCAGGGGGCTCTTTGTACTTTTCTGACTTCCATGCTGAGGGCCTGGGAATGAGCCTCTGGTCACAGACCTTTAACATCATGAACTCAAAGGCTGGAACCCAAGCTGCCCATTTTCAGGGTTCTTGGGTTTAGAGGGTTTCCTTGGGCCCCCGCAGGGATCCTTTCTGGCTCCATTTTCCCCATATAACCTTATCCCTTAGAGCCTTCTTTGCAAATGGGAAAAAAAAAAAGCCTTTGCTCAAGGCGTAAGAAAGAGTAGTGTTTGACACTACTTGGGTCAATATCACAAACTCGATTCCTCTCCTTGCCCTCAATCTATGCCGTGTTAGTCAGAAGCGGCAGGCAGGAAAATAACTCTACCAGGACACAGTTGTACTTTTCCTAGGAGAGCACACGGCCCTGGAGAAGAGCAGTGTCCTCCTAAAACCAAACCAGGAGGTGAGGGGGTCAGAACTCAGGTGTACCACTCACAGAATCACGTTGGTTAACAATTCCAGCACCTCCCGGGTGGAGGCAAAAACAGGATAGACAGCAAGGAAAGCGCTGAGGAAGTCATACTTCCTCTTTTTCAGAGCTTTCGGGAGGTAGGACACGAGTTTCCCTACAAAGTCTGGATGTTTGTAGTCAAATTTCAGCGGTTTAAATAGGCGGTCCAGGTCCTCTTGACCCTGAGGAAGGACCAAGAAAGGAAGGAGCTCTAAATGTGGAAACTCTGAGAGGCAGCAACAACCCATCACCACACACTGAGGAGAAAAGTGAGCATAAAGAATGTTCCCCAGTGTTCTCACAGGATCACACCCCAGGCAGAGATTGCAGTGGATTAGGGGGATCAGAAAGGACTCCTGCTCCAGGCTGGCCTGTCTTACCGGGCTTTTCCTGGTCGAAGATGACCAGACGTGTGTGAGAAGACACACCAAACGTCCCCAAAGGTGGCCAAGGTGACCATCTTTTCTGCGGCCTAAGCCATGAGATTTCCTAAAGCAGGAAAACATCCTCACTCGCTGAGTGTCTCAGGACAAGTGACTCAGCCTCAACTGTGAGGCTTATACCAGTCTCTGGTTACCTGGTGACCCTGATGCCAGGTTACATCTGGACCATTGTGAGGAAAGTGAGGTCACTTTCTGGACACCTCCAGCCTGAGCCTCCTCCACACAGGCTTCCTCTAGAACTGGCCAGGGCTGCCAGCTGCTCTCCTTCTGCCTTGGCGTGTGTACAGTGTGTCACAGAGATGTTCAATGCTTGTAGCTCCTAGTTGTTGGAACTCTTTGGGGAAGGATTAAGACGTGTGGTCTTGTTGGACTAAGTGTGTCACTGGGAGTAAGCCCTGAGGTTTCAAAAGCCCATTCAAACCAAGACACGCCATAGACCAACTTGATAATCCAATGAGTTTACCAAGATCAGTTCCAAGAGCACGGGTGAAGGGTTACAGGAGCAGGGACCCCTTGAAGGCAGCTGAGTCACTGCATAGCCCATCACCGACTGAGTGCTGACTCTCAAAAGCTGCAACTGTGGTGGTCTTAGTGCACCTACACAGGGCCAGCCGGGGCAGGGTCCCTTTGCCACCAAATTGGAAACTCTAAAAGAAATGGACAATTTTCTTGATAGATATCACTTACCAAAGTTAAATCAAGATCAGATACATGATTTAAATAGCCCTATAACCCCTAGTGATATAGAGGCAGTCACTAGAAAACTTCTGACCAAAAAAAAGCCCAGAGTCAGATGGTATTAGCATAGAATTCTATGAAACTTTTAAAGAGGAGTTAATGCCAATATCCATCAAATTATTCCACAAAATAGAAACAGAAGGAACACTTCCCGATTCATTTTATGAGGACACAGTTTCTCTGATACCCAAACCACATAAAGACTCAACAAAAGAGAATTACAGACCAATTTCTCTCACGACCATCGATGCAAAAATAGTCATTAAAATACTTGTAAATTGAATCCAAGAACACATCAAAAACATCATCCACCATGATAAAGCAGACTGCATCCCAGAGATACATGGATGGTTCAGTAGACAAAAAGCATTATATGTAATCAACTATGCAAAAAAAAAAAAACCCTGGGAAAAAATTCACAGGATTATCTCATTAGATGCAGTAAAGGCCTTTGGCAAAAATTCAACACCCATTCATGATAAAAGTATTGAAGAGAGTAACGGCGGTTTACAACAAGTCTATAAACTTCAACATCAAATATAAGTCTCCAACATCAGATTAAATGGAGAGAAAGCCAAAGCAATTCCACTGAAATCGGGAACAGGACTCGGTTATCCGTTCCCTCCATATGCATTCAAAATAGTACTTGTAGCTAGAGCTATAAGAACACTGAAGGAGGACAGGGGTACACAAATTAGAAAGGAAGAATCAAAGTATCGTTGTTTGAAGAAGATATGATAGTATACATAAGTTATCCTAAAATAGTTACCAGGGAACTCCTATTGCTGATAAAAACTTTCACAAATGTATCCGGAATCAAGATTAGCTAATGGCTAAGGACATGTCAATAGGACCAACAGCAGCCTACAGAATGAGAAAAGCGCTTCACCAGACAAGACCAGGCTAAATGTCTCAAATGTGGCAGGATCTCTTAGCATAGCGCTAACAAGGAGCGTGAAGTAAACAAACTACCTGCACATCAGGAAATTTAAAAAAAGAAGAGAAAATCAGCGGGTGATTATAAGTTATAATGGAAATCCTGAGAAAAGGATACTTCTTTTAAAGAAAAAAATCCTCCTCCTCATGCCCATGTTTTCCAATTCATTACCTTTCCACACTACAGCGAACCTGGCAGGAGACTGCTCTCCTCACCCTGGGTTTCCGGGTGGGTCCCAGAGGGTGCTGCAGACACCACATACTGAACAGGATCCTTCCAAACAAAATAATCACAAAGCTCCTCCCAGTCCCTGGTGCCCAGCACCTGGAGCCAAGCTGCTCAAGCAAGGACAGCATGGTGGCTGTGCCCTCCCACTCCTGGCGGGCTGGAGTGACTCAACTGTTACCTCCATCAAGGCAATGACCCAAGGCCTTGGCCTCTTCAGGAATCTGGGGATCTAAGCATCTGATGCCACTTAGAGCAGGTCAAAGGTCGTGCTGTGGAGCAGGTCAAAGGTCACAGTGGAGCATTGTGGACAGTGCTGCCCAGTGTCTCCTAGGCTACCCGGCGAGGCACTTCCGCTTCCAGGAGGAAGTTCCCTGTGCAGAGGTATAAGGGTTTGCACCCACAGTGCAAACTACATCAGAGCACCGTCCTGAGAAGAACGATGGGTTTGAGCAAGTATGTTCCTTCACGGCGTCGGTTCCTAATTTTGAAGACCTTAAAGTATCCCAACGAGCACGTATATATGGAACAAGTAGTTTAAAGGTGATACTATTCTGTCAGATGTTCAAAATCTGTTGCTCTAGGAACAGTAATTGGGAATAAATATTTGGACCCATTAATTTATCAGAGTTGCAAAATGCTGGCATGCTGAGTCTGTCCTTCTAAAAATTAATTTATTGGCTGAGATCAATCTTGTGCTTGTTAATACTGTCAATTTGAAAGGGTCTGGAGTCATCTAGGAGACCAGTGCTAGCCTCTGTGAGATATTTATGTAGATTAGATTACTTGTGAGCCACAGTAAATGTGGGTGACATCATTCAATGGATTGGAGTCCATGTCTACATAACAAGGAGAAAGCAAATTGAGCACTGGCATTTATCTGAAAGAACTGATCAAGGTCCTAGGGTGGGGAGTTTAGAGGAACCAGTGTCTACAGGCTCCCTCCCTTGTGATCCCTAATAAGAGAGGGCAGGTTACAGGGATTTAAAGATTTAAAGATTTAAAAAGGCCTTCTTTTTCCTCATCGTCCCTCACAATAAGATGAAGGCAGGATAAGGGAAAATTCCCAGGACTCTCTGTAGAGGGAGGCAAAGAAGAGATGGAAGACATTCTAATATAGATTTTGTTGTTGTCTCACAGAGGGGTTACAGGGCACACTTAGACTGACTTGGCCTTAAAAAGAAAATTCGGATATTTTTCTATAGTTAAGGCCAGCCTAAACATGAACTAGAGGATGAAACAAGTGACCTCTAGCACAGAATATCAATCATAGTGTGCTTTTGTAGGTTTAGAGGTATTCATTCATCAGGTTTTTCAGAATGTCCACTTCCAGGCTTCGACACACACTAAATGCAGGTTCAAAACTTTAAGCAGTTTGACCCTCACCCCAAGTATAGCCAGAGAGAATCTCAAGGTACACATGGGAAAAGGCAGATATTTTTGTTGTCTTAATTCTGTTTGATCATGTGTTGTGGTAAACATGTGACATGATCTTACAACATATAAAGGTATCATAGGTTTACCATTCAAAATTAACTTTCCTCCCTGATAATTCTGTGTGTGTGGGGGGGGTGGTAATCCTTGCCTCCTTTTAGTGCTCATTCTTAATACACAGCACAGCAAGCAACTGGATTCCTTCTATTTTACTTCCCTGATCCTTCAGAAACAGGTACTTTCTTCGGTTTTACAATGGAATGAAGGCCTTTCATTAGGACATAGTTATATGTTATTTAAACGCAATGAAGTTGGGTCCAGAGGTGAGATTTGCCCACACATCCAAGTATTTATGTCTCAAAGTGAACCCCCCCCCAACTTCCTGTTTTGGAACACTCTGGTCTTCCTAGTTTGTAGCAGGAAGAAAGAAGAAGAGTAAAACAGCCCCAAGGTAGAAAGCACTGTGCCCATGTAAATAGCAGAAAAGAAAACTATTTCCAAGAGTGGGTACTCTTGTTTGATCCATGACATACAATGGCTGTAGAACCCTGAGTTGGAATAGATCAGCATTTCTGTTCCTTGTGGATTAACTTTCTTGGTACAAGAATGCACCATACAAGATTCCAGAGGTGGGGACAACAGTCCTTCCCAGCTATGATACCTATGAACCATGTCAGCCAGCATGATATGATAACCAGGTTATAGGACTGGCAGGTATGCCTTGGATTTGGTTGAACTAATTGTACTTAAGACCTGTTCAGCAAGAGGGCAACCATGTCTGGTATTGGAAATTAACCTAATTACTCGGTTCTAGTGAGGTCATGGTTATTGGAGGAGAATTTACACCACTAATTCACTAAACCAGCATCATCCCTAACAACAAGCTGTAAACATCTGTTCTTATACCCACAGGTAAGTGCAGTCCTCACATCTCATCAAGGAACTTCTCATTGCAGCATACAGAGGCCGCTACAGAAAACCACATTCAATCAATATGCAGAGTTGTAGAGTTCAATCCCAGTGGGTACCTCTATAAAACACTCCCACACCTCAAGCTCAGGGGAGACTGAGGAAGAGGGGGTGGAAAGATTGTAAGAGCCAGAGCATCAGGAAGTTTCCTGTGAGGGTGGGTCTCCTAGTAAAGTCAGAAGTTTTGCCCATAAAGTCTCACCAATGTAGCTGCCCAAAGATGAACAAGGATGATACCAAAGTAGGCAGAGAAGAGCACATGCGGCCTGGGCCCCACATAAAGAACTGCAGGCAACTGAGGGAACCTGGGAGCAGGAGAGGTGGTCTTCCCCCAGGGAAAAGCACACAGATCAGCTGTCCAGTACCAAATAGTCAGCCCCGAAAACATCTATTCAAGTAAAAGTAATAATGATTTCTAGTTCTTGAAAGTTATTGTTATCAATTGTTTAGGATAATTTAGAAACACAGGTTAGTAATTAGTCAGCCAATTCAGTTAAATTTGTAGTCATCGCCTTTGTTCGAGCCACCCAAGCAGCAAGGAGATCTGGTCCAGGCATGAGGAGAGACATCACTGGGCAAGGAGATCCGGTCCAGGCACCAGGGGAGACATCACTGGGGTGAGTGAGTTTCTGACTGCGGCAGCAGCCCGGGACAGGGAACTCAGACACCCCTCCTACAACTTCCTGGTCATCCTCAGGGGCTACTCTGCCCGATACCTCCTCTCTCTTCCTATCCCACCCAGCTTGCATCCACAACCCTCCCCCCCCCTCCGTCTGACTCCCTTCCCTCTTTGACCACATAACATCTCCCAGCCTGGCCAGTTCGGGCTCTAGGACCGAATCCGAATCGGCAGGGCAAACGGGAGGGTGCTAGCTCCTTTGTCCCCACTAGCCTGCCTGCAGCGAGCTAGGTAGGCCCTTTGTTCAAGCCACCCAAGCAGCAAGGAGATCCGGTCCAGGCACCAGGAGAGACATCGGGCTTGCATCCACAACCCACCCAGAGTGGTCCTGAGGAGTTCCATCTGGACGATAGTCCATGTTTGGGTGCTGAGGAGTTCCAGGTCAACGGGACGGTCCCTGCTTCTACACTGAAAAGATACACCCAGAGATTCNATACTTAATGAAATACTTAATGAAAAAAGAAGCCATGACTTG